GTTGCTAATTCACGCTAATGACCCATTGCAAATTGCTGAATTTTGTGAATTAGCCAGCATGGAAAGGAATACAATAAACCCTGCAAGAACCATGCATCAAAGTTTACAGGGCTGCTTTTGGTGGTCGTAGCTCACTTTTAATTACTTGTGGCAATAGGTACAGGGAAAGGCACAGATTAGACATGAAACCCATAAAAAATACACAGGAAATCTTCAGGATAAGGGACTTCACCATGGCATCAGCTAGTAAGTCTCTGGGGAAGGAGCAGGGATTCTCCTGGAGATTACCAAGACTCTACCTCTTCAGTTGAGCTCAGGGTGGTTAACATTGGCTAAGTCATTACACACCTCATTTTCACTCCTTTAAGAACTGCAAAGCTGACTCCCGGAGCCACTCCTTCTCCTGCTGCAGAAGCACCTGAAGAACAAATTTGGCCTGGCAAATTCATCAAAAACACTCTCAAATTTATTAAAAACATTTACTGATGACATTTTGCTATCACAAAATCGGTGCAGCCACACAAAGAGATGAGACACCACACGGGAGGCAGCACTGTACACAGGTACCAATGTTCCAGCCCTCGGCAGAGTGGCCGAGGAGGCCACAAACAGCACAGAGGGAAAATGCAATGCCACAAAACCCTCCTGCATCCACAACGTGCTCGGGAAAGGAGCAGCGTAAAGGGACAACATTATCTTCCCTTTTCCTTTCTTTTTTCACACTATAAACACGGAAATGATTTGTAGAAGTTGAGCATTTAACGTTTAAATACAAAATATCAAGATTCTCCTGAAATCATCCTTATTCATGCACAAAAAAGGACTCGCAGCCTTTCATACCCTCTCTCCACACACCCCCCTCACACAACATCTGAGCTGACGCTCAAGCAGCTACGTCAGTAATTTTTGTGCATGTGAAGGACACTCAGCTGCAGCAAAAGCAAAGCAACCTCTTGGTTTCATCTCAAAACCTGATTTTTCACCAAAACCCAGCAGGAAAATAGGTACTTCCTTTGAGAAATTATATAATTCAAAAAACACAAATTACAGAAGCAACTAGAGCCACAGAGCAAGTTTCCCAGACAGGCAGCCATTCCCTCATTTCTTTACTGTAGGATTGTCGGAGTAAAACCTTACTCCTTCCTCTGAAACACATCACACCACAAGGCACTGATCCTCCAGGAGCAGCAGGAAAAAGCATTTTCAATGTAATTGTGTGGCAAAAGAAGCCACATCCCAGTGGCATTTTTCCCTTCCCTAAAAGCAAGCAGCACCCCGTCCCTTTCTGAGCCAACCCGCCGCAAGCAGCCCAGCTGCTGTGGGGTGGCCAAAGCCCCAGCTCTGTAGCTATATGTGGCCACCAATGAGCTCCCAGGGCAGCCACGAGCTCTGAGACGGCTCACCTACGCACCCTTGATCTTACAGAGCCCTTCACACCCACATGAGCTCCTCAACATACCCCCGACACCCCAAAACGCAGCTGAAGCCAGGCACTCCCATGCAATGGCATCATCCTCCCTCCGGCCTCTACCACCACAGCACAAGCATCCAAATGATGACCTTCCTCAACAAGTGGCCAAAGTCCACTCTGCCCATACCCAGAGCCCAACACACCTGAGCTGTGCCCAGGAGCAGAAGAGACATCATGGGAGAGCTGTGGACAGCCCAGGCCACCTCCAGGTGCTTCGGGGACTTTGGTGCTTCTCAAAACATCTCTCCACCAACCACAGTCAGCTGCCAAGAAATACAGGGCAGGTTTGGGAACAGACCTGTGACTCTCACGGCCAGCCTAGAGGCTGGGAAACATGGGTCCATACCCTGCAGCAAGCCTGCAAAGATCAACACAGATCTCCTTCTGAACTTGGTGGGAAACTACCCCAACTCCTGCAGACTACCCAAGGCCGACCTGCTTGCTGTGCTGCCTGTGTACAAGTGACCGAGCACAGTTAAACTGTCACCAGCCCCTGGCAAGGTCACCTGCAGCTTCACCTCCTTTCTGTGGGGAGCCAGCATGTGACGTCAGGTCCTTGGCCCCGGCTGGGGAAACAGCCAGAAGCACCAGTGTCAGCACTCAAAGGGCATAGCTGCACTCGCCCACCGCCACACATCCCCAGAGCAGCATACCTGGGACCAGAAATACCATCTTATTTACATAGTACTCCAGATAAAGGGGACAAAGAGGCTTATTGCATTACATCTGGGGCTGGTATTGCATCAGCGCCCACAGGCCCTAATCCGAATGGGAGCCCTGCCACACAGGGTGCAGCAGGATGGCAGCGAGGCGCATCCCTGCTTCCGGCCCACCCAAGGTCAAGAGCAACACATAGAGCCCAGCTCCCTCCACAAACAAGCAGGGAAAGATCCCATTTTTAGCCAGCACACACACAGGAGATACCAAGTAAACCACAGTGTCAGGCATGACATACAGTTCTGGTCCCCAACCACCTTTCCATCGTGGCTGAGCCCCAGGAATACGATCCACAGGTCTCCAGCCTCCGCTATGGCATGGACACGGCTCATGGACATCAACTTTGTCTCAGGGGAAGTGCTAGAAAAATGAGGCAGCTTCTGGGTTTCTTTTAATTGATGCAATTCAAATTAAAAAGATACTGTAAATATAATCTGGAGGCAAATTTGGATTCTCAATTCAAACATGGCCCAGTTCTCAAAGAGAGTAAACCAGACGAAGCCAACTCTGGTCCTTCCTTCTTGTTCATCCATAATAAAGACACACAAGCTGTTAGGGGGCTCCAAGACAGCGGGAGAACCCCTCACCCGCCTGTACACTTTGCGGGCCCTTTCCTCCTGAAAAAGGCATGTTTTCAGCTGGCCTAACGATTTAGAAGGAAGCAGTTCTGGAGGTGGCAGAAGCAGATGCTGTGCCTGTGTTGTCCTGCGAGTCGGGTGCAGCGAGCACGAGAGGACTTTGCAACCTTGCAACTGCAGGGGAGGAGATGATTTGCAGCTGGCACATGGTCCGTGGCATGGGGCTGCAGATGGATGAACGCCCCTTACTCACAGCAGCCCCCCCCCCCCAACAAAAATAACATCGTTTTGGGGGCACACAGAGGGCAACCTGGGCGATAACACCCGTACTGAGTCCCCTCCGCACACACACATGTACGCAGCAGCCCCTCCAGCTGACGAGCAGCCTAATGGCGACTCACACACACAACACACAGACCCTCCACTGGAAACCGAGCCCAAGCACCCGGCTTGGAGAAAGAAGAGAAAAGCAGCCCCGTGTACCGGCCATACTCAATTACAGATCATTACAACTTGCCTGATAATTCATTTCCTCTGGTGGCTCAAACTGGCTCGCAGCCCCTGTCCTGAACACAAGGCCAATTTAGGTGAAACATTAAATCCTTGTCCTTTTGCACCACTGAGACAGCCGCGCTCCCGGCGCTGTGCACATCGCCCTTCCTCAGCAAGCTCTACCCCATGGGAGAGAAGAAACCCTTGCTGGCTGAACGAGGGCACAAAAAGGCAAAGATTTTCATTTCGAGACTGAGTCGGCTTCGCAATAATAAATTATAAATTATTTCTGGTCAAGAGCTAATCAATAAAATACGCTGAGTGGATTTTTCGAGTGCCGTGCATGTGCGGTCGCGTACTGCCAACAAAGGGCTAGAAATGTGCAGCATAATCCGATGCTGGAGTCATTGCACAAAACGTGGAAATTGGTTTCCTGAGGATGTCCAGGCAAGGAAGGCAGCGAGCCCCCGTCATGCCGGAGCCCGAAAGCCTGCCCCGATGCCAGCATCCTCAATTCTTCTGGAGTGGGGGGAAAAAAAGGGCCTGTGAGCTCTTCAGTGCGTGCCACACGAACGTGTGTGTCTCACACCTCCCCTGAGGGCAAGGCCCTTCCCAGAAAGGGGGAAAAAGGAAAGGAAAAATAAAAGAAGAGGGCTGCTGGGAGATGGAGGACAGCCAAGTCTCACAGACCAGACCTGAACCTGTGACCTTCCCCGTGTACACAACGGGCGGGAGAGCCCCGGGCAGGAGCAGCGTCCTCGCCTCGCCTCTCCTCTCCTTTCACCCGCAGCCTTTATGGGACGCCTCGGCCACGTTGTCACTGCCGGTGTCACCCCGGGACCGGCCCCACGGCCCGGCCCTCAGGGGGCTCCAAGGGCGGCCGCGCGGGGACACCGTCGCAAAGGGGCCCCAATGGGCCCTCTCCAAAGAGGGGCTGGGGCCGGAGCAGCTCTGCCCCACTTAAATGCCTCTGGGGAAATGTAATCCTCCCTGATCTGTGCCCAGCACACCCCGCGAGGGGCTGCGTTCCCCACGCTGGCACCCCAGGTCCCCCAAGTCCCCTGCACAGCGACAGGGGGTCACAAGGGGGAGAACCCCCCATTCCCCACCCCAGCCCCGACTCCCACCTCAAAACCTGCCGCGGCGGTGACTCCACACACGGGGACCCCCCCCTCACCCACCGCAGCTTCGAGGGCTCCGCGAAGCCCCCCAAACGGTGGGACCCGCGGGGACCAGCCCGACCCCCCCCGCAGCTGGGAGCACCCGCACACAGTGATCCCGCATCACACCGCCCGGCGGGGGGGACACGGCCCAGCCGGCCCGTGGTGCCCCGGCACCCTGCGTCCCTGGGGGGGACCCGACCGCACCGGCCCCGACACCCGGGGGGCGCGGGGGTGTCTGTGCCCGACGGCCCCGGAGCTGGACGGGCCGCACAGCCCCGTCCGGCGGCCACGGAAGGACGGCCCCGGCCGCGGGGGGGGGGGGGGGGGGCACACCGGGCGGGGGAAAGCGGACGAGGGGGGGGCGGGTCCCGGCACCAACGGCCGCGGGGAAGGCCCCAACGGTCACCGGGAGGGGGGAACCCGGGCCGCAACTGCTGCGGGGGGCGGCGACCCCGGCACAACGGTCACGGGGAGGGGGGGGGCGGGCCGGGCCCAACGGCCGCGGGGGATCCTGAACCGACACCTCCCACACACACACCCGGCCGGGGCGCCTCGGGGCCGGGCCGGGCCCGCACTCACCCGGCTCCGCTCCCGTCCCGGGCGGCCCTAAGTGTCCTCCATGAGGCCGCCTGGCCGCTCCTCCGCTCCGCCGGCACTAAGGGCCGGCCGCCGCGGCCGCCATGCCACCCGCGCCTGTGGGCCGCGCCGCGCCGCGCAGGCCGCGCCGGGGTCCGCCTGCCGGGCGGGGCGGCAGGGGTGGCAGGGGCGGGCGCTCGGCTCCGCTCGTAACCGCTCGGCTCTGCTCGGCTCCGCCCGCCCGGCTTCGCTCGGCTCGGCCCGGCTCCGTTCGGCTCTGCTC